GGTATCACATTTTATTACGAATCAGTTAATACGTTTAATTTTCTAATATAACATAATCAGTCTCGAATAAGCTGTACAAGTTATACGTTCCGTCACCATTTTGTGGAAAGCCATAAATCCTATTGTATTCGTTGAAATTTGTTAAGGAAAAGGATTTTATTTCCACTGAGCTGCACAAATAGCATTTCCCGCTACGGTTTGAGCACCAAATGGCGTCCCTCACTTAGGTTAATCTAGGCCAGAGGCAGACCTACGTCAAGATAACCTCCCTTGAAAAACTATAAATATAGCAGCCAGAATTCAAGTGTCTAATGGGGACCTTTTTTTTTATTAACCTGGATTCCAACCCGTTATGCGAGCAGACTAATCCCAGAACGACCACCTGCTTTACAGATAGCCCGGAGTCACTGCATTTGAACCTCCATGGCCACAAGGGGATTTTTATTCCTCCTTGGATTTGAACATGAGATCTCCAGATACTTTTGACTTTTGGAGCCAAACTCAAACCAATCAGACACCACCCTTGTGGTTGTCTAATGGGGACCTTAGATTCTATTTTATCATCAATTCAGTCCCATTCATGTTTAGAACATGATTTTCAATAATTATGCTATAAATTTTCTAAAATAAAATATCAAAAATGAAAATCTCCAAAGAAAATATATCGAACATTAACAATTATTCTATTTTAGCAATTTTATCATGAAATTATATTATTAAAATATTTTATACAATCTTATTGGTGAAAACAATATATATACATATTTCTTCTCAGTATTAAGTATTAATTTTTTTTTCCAAATTTAAAGATTTCTTATTTTCTCTCTAATTTAGCATAAAGTCCGCAGTTGGCAAAAGGTGGACGACTTTGCCCAAATACAAGACAAGTCAAGGGTTAGATCACAATTTATAGCCTCCCGACTGCTAGCCTGAATCACTAAGTTAGATGTTGTTTGTTTACCTCTTAATAGTTCCATTAAGAGACAATTGGGGTTGTTTGATTACCTCTTAATAGTTCCATTAAAAGACAGTCTATGAATTGTTAAGGGATGAATCTTGTTTGGCAAAACATAAGTATGTCTCTTAATGGTTCTAAAACACTCTGAATGATTTTGTATCATGTGCTTCCCTTAACCATTAAGCGCCATAATTTCATTGTAAACAATCACCAAACAATTATTTTTCATTTTGCAGTATATCATGAGAGCCTCTTAATCATTCTAACCACTTAATCATTGTGCACTAAATCATTCAGCAACTTCCAAACAACCCAATATCTGAATCGTTAAGAGGTGAATTTTATTTGGCAAAAAAAAAATATGGTTCTTAATGGTTCTAAAACCCTCTGAATGACTTTGTATCATGAGCCTCCTTTCACCATTAAGCGCTCTAATTTCATTGTAAACAATTATCAAAAAATTATATTTCATTTTGCATTATATCGTGAGAGCTTCTTAATCATTCTGACCACTTAATGATTCTGCACAAAACCATTCAGCAACTGCCAAACAGACTTAGCCAAAAAAATTGCCCCTTTATATTAATGTCGTTAAAGACTGATTCTATGTGAGATCAGTTAAAATTGTCGATAATCAAATTTAATATATATTTGTTAATGTTTAATGCTCTTACATATTCACATTATAAGTTACACCAATCTATTAAAAACAAAAAGTATCACAATAATCATCATCATCATGATCATGATGATGATGATCATCATCATTTAAATGAATAAAACTTATACTCCAAAATTTAAAATTTTCAAAAAAAATAAATAAATAAGAGAAAAAGAGTAAAAGTAGTGTTTAAATGAGGTGTAACCTTTTGTCTTACTCAACAGTGCCCCATATAATATTTGGATTAAATTAGATTATTTTAATTAAAAAAAAATATTACTTAGATTAAATTAATGATTAAGCCTATAATATATTAATTTATTTAGGGATAAAAATCAAGTTGTACTTATAATAAACGATATATGGTACTATTGAGCTTTATTATATATATATATATATATATATATATATATATATATATATATATTATTTTGAGTTTGTGTTTAGAACTATTTTATTTGTAAAATTTATGATGATATTTGACGCCACGGTCGTAGCCCTATTACACGAACTTTGGTAAGCCTATACTGCTAACATCCTATCGCATTTGCTTGTCTACCACGATATGATCTCTCTCATTGAGAAAGCGCTATCAAAGGCACTGTCCCATCTGACCAAATAGAGCGTGGAGACAACAAGTTCAGTCGAACATATATAGGCATCGAATGCTGCTATTGAAACCAATCAAGCTACCTATGAGTTATTCAAGCTACCAATGAGTTATCGCTTGTTCTCAACGGGGCTATCTTCCATCTCTTATATATATATATAGAGTGGTTCAAATACTAACCCATTTTTTTGTGTTAACTCTACTAACCAACATCAACCAATCATATTCTTTCTTTACTTTATGTTCAAATGTAACTTATAAATTGAATATAAGGGTCATTTTGTAATTTGACCTTTATGTAACTCCCTATTAATTATTTGGGAGTTACAAATCTTTTAAGATCCCTCTAATTGATCATGAGGTAATTTCGATATTCACCGTGTTCATGGTGTTCATATCCATGTAATGTCCATGAACATTCACCGTGTTCATATAAATGTTCACCGTGTTCATGCAATGTTTTTACAAAAGTACCCTCTGAACCTTTGTTCATAGGCAACTCAATTAATATATTAATTAAATGATTATTTTTATAGTCTCATTTAATAAGAACCATTTGATGAGAAAATAAACGATCAAGATCGGGTTAACATAGTTTGCACAATAGTTTTGGTTAGTATTTGAACCAACCCCTATAAATATATATATATATATATAGAGAGAGAGAGAGAGAGAGAGACGATCAAATGCAAACCATCCAATTTATATAAACCATGCAAGCCACTCTCATCCATCGATTTTATTGTTTAATCTTATGAAATTTTTCATGAAATTGTTTAATCTTTGTAAAATTGTATCATATAATAATTGTTTTTGATGAAGTTGTTTCATATATGGTTATGAAATTATTTCATATAATATTTAATGAAACTGTTTCATGTATTTCTCTAAAATTAAAATAACAACGATGATAATATCCATGATTAACACCCTTCACAATAAAAATGATTAATCAACCTCTCAAAATTATAAAAAAAATGAACAAAATAAAAAATTATGATCGGTTAAAAGAGGTTTATGCAGTTTATACAAATAATGTGGTTTGCAAAGTAAACATTCTCTCTCTCTATATATATTCTTTTAACTCTTTCTTTTTCGATAATGGTATGCCATATATAAACACAACATTTTTTTTATAGAATAGGATTGCACTAAAAATCAATATTTATGTAAAGAAATGACAATTATGCTAAAAAGAAAAATAAAACTAATTAAATGACCGTAAAAACATCTCTAACAAATTTTTCAAAACGGTTAATCGGAATTCAATTTTGTTCTTAAAACCCCAATTCTAACTCTGAGAGTTTTTTTTTTATTTTGTATATTGTGACATCTGTTATATTATTAAAATAGTTCATACATTTAATATAATATTATTTATTTTTTATAAACATTTATTCTATTTGTTTCAAAATAAATGTCACAATCACTACAACAAAATCGGTTTTATAGGACACTGCCAAAATCTAAGTGTCCTAATAGACCTCTTTATAGGACTTAGTTTATAGGACCAAAAAATAAAGTGTCTTATCTAAATGTGTTGTAATAAGTTTATATGACGTTTTTTGACGTCGTAATAAGGTTTTTAGGACACTTTTAATATAAAGCGTCTCATTATCAACTTTATAGGATACTTTTGAGAAAGTGTCCTATAAACTCAATTTTTTATAGKACATTTGTTTTTTATAGGACAATTTTTCAAATAGTGTCCTATAAAGTTGATAATTGGACGCTTTATATGAAAAGTATCCTAAAAGACTTATTACGACAACAAAAAACGTCATATAAACTTATTACAACACATTTAGATATGACACTTTATATTTCTATAAAACGGTCTATTAGGACATTTAGAATTTTGGAGTGTCCTAAAAAACCAATTTTGTTGTAGTGAATGGAAATGAAACATTGTCTTCATAATCTGTTATTATTATACTTTTTGGTTAATTAAATGACACGTTTACCCTTAATAATAAAAAGAGAAATTTTATCTGTCTCATAATAATTAAAGAGAAATAGACACTTCATGTTGAAAGGATATTTGAGACAAACTAAAATAGAAATATAGACACTTGTTTTAGGACAAATATAATAATTTCAAAGTCTTTTTTTATTGGTGGTAATATAATAAAAACAATTCTCTCGTCGTAATCATTTTTTTAGTAGTTCTTAAAATTTGTAGAAGTTGATACCCCCGCTCGTACTTTCTTCATGCTAATAAAAATCACCTCTTCAACCATAAGGATGGTGTCTGGTTGATTTGAAACTGGCTCCAAAGGTCAAAAATACTAGAAGGTCCCAGATTCGAATCCAAGGAGGAATAAAAACCCTTTTTGTGGCCATGGAGGTTCAAATGCGGTGACTCCGGACTATCTACAAAGTAGGTGGTCGCTTTGAGATTAGTCGGCTCGTATAGCGGGTTGGATATCCAGGTTAATAAAAAAAGGGTCTTTCAATGTTATATTTATTTCGAGAAAATTTTATAAAAGAAAAAATATTTAATTTGTATTTTCAAGAAATCTTTAAATTCAACCTAATTAAAAGTCAACGAAATTCTGGCCATATTTTCTGTTTATTTCTACCAACATTCTAAATATCCCTTTTTTCAATATAATATAAATACCAAGACAAACCCACCTCCTTTCATTTCATTTCATTTCATTTCTACAACTTCTTCAAACCATTATTTGTCAAAGAAACCTGAAAGCATCTTCAAGATCGATCAATCAATCACTGGTAGATCAAGAAACAAGTCGATTTGATCCAAAAAGATGGCAGATAGCTGGTGGGATTCAAGAACAAGGCCTTGTTTGGATTCAGTTTCTGTTACTTCCATGAATCTTTTTCAAGAAACCACCACCACCGCCACAACCAGTGGCGGCGGTGGCGGAGGTGGTGGCGGAGGTGGTGGTGGTGGTGGGGTGGTGGGCAACAACACCCAGATGATGGAATTAGGTCTTTCATCACAACCAATATCACAATCGTTGGATTGGAATCAAGCTTTATAGTAAGTCCACTTTGAACATGTTCTTTCTTTTAATTTCTTTAAAAACCCTAATTTTATTCTCTTGTTTCGATTCTTCTTCGCTGCTAAATCGGTTTGATTTCGATGCAAAACAGTCGTGGAGATCAAAGAAACGATCATCATCAAAGTGGGTACCAAACCCTAATTCAAGAAGATCATAGTTTGAGCTCAAACTCAAATTTTCAAGATTCCCAATGGAAATTATCACATAAAATGTACTCGGATTCGCCGTCGGAATTCAAGCAAGTCAATGTTAGAAGCTTTCGGTTAGACGAACCGGTGAATTACAGCGACGAAAATGGATTAAATCCAAGTTTTCAATCAATGGATCATTCCTATGGAAGTTCAACCGTAATACAAAGCTTATTCGGTTCGGATAATACCACCAACCAGCAACAAGATTCGGGTTTTGATCAAAACCAAGCAATGAGTACTTATTCGTATCAATCTGGCTACGGTGGCATCACCCTGTCCGGTGGCGGCACCGGTAGCGGAGAATACCCTCCTCCGCCACAAGAATTCTCAGTGAATTCTTCGCCACCAAAAGTGCCGTCACCGAACATTGCTTCGCAATTACACTTTTCCAATAACGCGCGATTCTGGAATGCATCAGCAGCCTCCATGAATGATGTTAGATCAAGCTTTTTTCCTTTGCAAATGCAATCACCTTCATCCACCATTGAAGATAAACCAAAGGTATATATATATATATATAGCAATTCATCAAGGTTAACTATATGACTATATATATATATACATATACACACACACAAACACCATATGTGTGTATTACACATAGAAACCTAATATTTTACGTGAATGTTGTGAATTTTTCTGAAATTATAACAAGAAGACAGCATCAGAAATGGTGAAGAAAAGCAGCAACAAGCCATCATCAACAAAAAGACCCAGGAATGAAAACCCACCATTGCCTGCTTTTAAGGTACAAATATTTTCTTTTCGTATTTATGAATCTTGAATTAAAGTTTTGATTTTTTTTTGTGTGTGTTAATTATTTGGATTGATCAGGTGAGAAAAGAGAAGATGGGGGACAGAATCACTGCACTCCAACAATTAGTTTCACCTTTCGGAAAAGTATGCATGATCATCAATATATACATATACATACACATATATATATATATAAATCTTGACATTTTTATTCTTTTTGATGATGAATTCTTGAAAATAAAGCCTTATTTTGATGATAATCAAGATTTAATCTGTCGTGTTTAAACAGACCGATACGGCATCCGTGTTGTCTGAAGCTATCGAATATATCAAATTCCTCCATGAACAAGTTAATGTAAGTTCACTCATCAAATTCCAGATTCATATATATATATAGAAAAATGTATGTATATAACTTAGGAATCTTGATTATTTTCGCAGGTTCTAAGTACTCCATACATGAAAAATGGAGCTGCGGTCATGCAACAGCAACAGGTACCTATATATATATCAATCTATATCTATATATATCATTCGACTTAAAAAAAACAACGTCCCGGAACCATTCATCTAGACTGTATACAAGTATGGATACAAATAATTGAACTTGTTTCTTGCTGTTTATGCTCTTGTTTGCATTTCGGACAAATTGTTTTCAAATTACTTATATGCATATGTAGATAAACGGTTACCATAAACATTTAGCAGGTTCATCTTTGTATGTTCTCCTATATATATATATATATATATATATATAAAATGAGATTGATGATGTGGGGTTGATATATGATGCAGATTTGTTCAGAAAAAGCAGGAGAAGGATCACCAATTAGACAAGATCTAAGAAGTCGAGGGTTATGTTTGGTACCAATTTCAAGCACATTTCCAGTGACACATGAAACAACAGTTGATTTCTGGACACCATCTTTTGGAGGAACTTTTCGATAACTACTGTAAAAGAATTTGTTCATCATGGGGCCAATGGTGGCGATTATAGAAGGATCGAATTAATTCTAAGCAGCATTAATTATTAATTAATAAATACCACACACATATATATATATATATATATATATATATATATATATATATTGGGCCAGCAATATGATGCAGCTTTGGCCAATGTTGTTAGCTAATTAAAGGTGTCTATCTTTGTACATAAAAATTGAGTCTTTGTAATAATTAATGATCAATTAACTAAAGTTTTGTGTAGGAATATATGAGAACAGGTGCTAATTATACCCTGCATACATATATATATATATATATATAGAGAGAGAGAGAGAGAGAGAGTTTCAAATGCAAACCATCATATTTGTACAACCAATGCAACCCAATAAATTGAGATGTTTATGGAAATGATGAGAGTTCATTTATTATGATTTAAATATATATGAAAGATAAATAAAATTCATTAATTATTATCAATACTTTATATTATGAAACAATCAAAACTTCTATGAAATCACATATTCATCATATTAAATGGACAGTTGAGATTGAATTGTATTAGTTGTATAAATGTAAATGGTTGTATAATAACTCATCCCCCTCTCTCTTTATATATAATCAATTATAGAATATTGGTTTTTCCTTTTTTTTAAAGTTTACATGTAATTAACATCGTTTAATTTTAGCAATGGTTTCAAGCATATTGAATGTGTGTATGTATATGTATAATATATATAATATATACATACACAAACAGTTGGTATTTGTGACGCTAAAAACGTCGTTATTTCTAACTTCGCATTGTTGATCGATGATGTAGAGTTTGATTACATGACGATTTATCTGAGTTTTACGCATTCGAGATTGCTTTTTGTGATGGCAATTAGGTTCATTGTTGACTATAATCGGCGTTTATGGCTTGCTATGATTTGAGTACCCACAAATATCTTGAAAACTTAGGAAGGTAATGAATGTAATTTTTTTTGATTAATTTGGATGTCTAATCCGCTATGCGAGTCGACTAATTCCAGGACAACCACCTGCTTTGCAGATAATCTGGAGTCACCGCATTTAAACCTCCGTGGCCACAAGGGGATTTTTAATCCTCCTTGGATTTGAACCTGAGACCTCCTAGTACTTTTGACATTTGGAGCCAAGCTCAAACCAATCAGACACCAATGTTGTGGTTGAGTGTAAAATTTTTGTTGTCCGTTTACTTTTAATTTCTAATAGTTTATCTTCATTACTACTAGAAAAATAAGTATGTTATATATGACATTCAACCATCACAATAACAGATTTAATAAGAGTTCTTATTAAGCTCGTTATTAACGATTGTGTGTCTTATGTAAAAACGTTACAATTTTTTGAACAAGATTAGATGATTGTTTGTGTGTGTGTGTATATATATATATATGGTTGGGTTCACGTGAGAACAAACTGTTTTTGTGAGACACGTGAGACTACCTTTTTACACTTGAAACTTTATAGTAAAATACTGCGAATGTAAAAGAAATCCGAAAGTGTTAATACACAATGTTTTACTGTGAAGTTTCAATTGTAAAAAGATGGTCTCATAGTCTCACGAAAACAGACTGGTCTCACGTGATGTCAAGTCTATATATCATTGGTTGTTAGATCAAATTTAATTGAGTATCCTAACATGCTTCAAGAATTAAATAATTCTACTAATTTATACTATATTATAAAGCATTTGACAAAAACTATTAAAAACCATTTTTTATGTTTGATCATGTACTGCTTATTGATGCATATTACTTAAAATTCAAGATTACAAGTAAATTGTACATAAGTGCAACTTATTAAATCTCCATGTTAAAATTCGTGTAACTAACTCCAGATAAACATAATCAAATACAAGATAAACTTTTTATTTTAAATATAAAAAATATAAAATATAATTAGGATATCATTGTGTTATAACAGAATATGTAATTACTATCTTTATAAAAAATTATATTATTAAACAAAAAATTAATTACTTTGTTATTAAACCTAGATTAAATTATAAAAAAAAAAATTAAAGAAATTATCCAAAAGAGCTAGAACTTTTATATTTTTTTCAAATTTATATTTTATTTAAAAATAAAAATATTATCGATTTATTAAAACCACAAAAAACCGTATTATAACATCGACAAAGACATTTTTTTTTCTTTTTGGACAAACGATATCAGGTCATAAAACGAAAAACATTAAAATCGAGATACATCTCGCTGCATTTCACGAATACACTTCTAGTCTTTTAATATATGGCTCTTTTTGAAAAATATTTTTATACTGCATTTTTCAAGAAGTATTCCATACACTACTGAAAAATGGACTTTCACTGACGAAATTTTCCGTCGAAAATCAGTGGCAGATCAAAGCCACTATTTTAGTAGTGATAGAAAAAAACTGTACGGTTTACTTCGGTTCTCCAGCTTTATTCTAAAACATAATATTTTGTTAGGTCAGTAATTTTGTTCTAACAATTTATTGTATCATATTTATATCAGAAACACAGATATTCATTTTATAAACCTAACATATCGTTCTATAGAGGCACGTTCAAATGAAAACCATGCAATTCTTGAAAACCGTGTAAACTAATTTCGACCAATAGGAAAATTTCATTTTTTTTAATTAAATTTAATCATTAAGGGTATATTGGACATTTGCATTGTTTTCTATTAAATATGTAAGTTATTAATAAATCTTAATTAAGGCAACATAATAAAAAAAAATTATAAATAATAACATTTAAATATTTAATTAAATTATAATATTAAAAATTGGATTTTGTTATATTGTATTTCGATTTATTATTGTCAAGATTCATGAAAATCGTAAGTTATTAGAGTAATAAATCCATGAAATTAGTAGTAGAATAAAAAAAAATATTCATGAAAACGGTTTCATACATGGTGAAATTGGTGCATGGAATAAGTGAAAATGATTATGAAATGAGTGCATGATGAAACCGGTTTCATACATGGTGAAATTAGTGCATAGAATAAGTGAAAATGATTATGAAATTGGTGCATCATGAAATGGGTGCATGATGAATAGGTTGCATGAGAATATGGGTGCGTGATGAGGTTTAAGATGCATGAAATGAGTGCATGATGAATAGTGAAAATGTTTCATGAAACAGATTCATGAGGTTTAAGATGTGGTTGGGTTTACCATTTTACCCTTCTCGCTATTATAAAATAAAATTTTTAATATTTTTTTATTTTCTAAAATAAACTAAACTAATCTTGACCATTGATCAAGAAAATAGATGAATGAGATTGGTTTACATGGTTTACACAAATAAGGGCGGTTTTCATTTGATCTCTTATATATATATATATATATATTCAAATGAATTTTCCAATCAAGCGTATATGAACCTCCTTTTTTTATTCATGATATTTAGTCTTCTTATTTAAAGCTATCGCTAGCATATATGTATGTATATGGTATTGCACCATACATACAAGGGAAATAATGAGTCGATGTGAATCAAGTAATTAAGGGTTAAGAATTGTGCCTAGCAACATCTCGAATATCGTATAATATATAACGTGTATCAAATTATTAGCAGAATTTCCGTACTTATGATGATGGTAACCTCCAAAAAGTAACACGTTAAAGCAAGTGAATACGAAAACGCATATATCACATGTGATTTTAAACTAAAAGTTACATACGATTCAGATTCTGTCAACCCACACACGCTTGGCTCGACAACCTAGAAGATTGAACCAATTCCTTATTCACATGTGAATTACCCTAAATGAACACTTTCTTCTTCTCTTATTTGAACCTTCCTCCATCCAAAGAAAAGTTAGATTATAGAATAAAAAATGAAGGCATAAATACTAAATGACTTTTTGAATTAAGCACACATATTCCATACCTCTAATCAATTTTTTAATCTGCTTAATTATAATGATGTTTAGTCTAATTTCATCAAAGTCAGATTAATGTATAATTCCCTTTGTGTTTGTTATGCTTAATTAATAAGTGAGCTTAACCTACCAAGAACTAACCATAAGAGTGGTGTCTGATTGGTTTGAGCTTAGCTTCAAAGGTCAAAAATACCAGGAGGTCTCAGGTTCAAATCCAAGGAGGAATAAAAATCCCCTTGTAGCCACGGAGATTCATATGCGGTGACTTCGGGCTATCTGCAAGCAGGTGGTCGCCCTGGGATTAGTCGGCTCGCATAGCGGGTTGGATATCCAGGTTAATAAAAAAAAAACCTACCAAGAACTAGGGATTTTTAAGGACGAATACAGTGTTAAACCACCCAATTTGTACAAACCGTGCAAACCACCTTCATCCGTTGATTTCATTGTTTAATCTCATGAATTTTTTTTCATGAAATTGTTTAATATTGTGAAATTGTTTCATATATGGTTATGAACCGTTTCATATAATATGATTAATACACTACACAATAAAAATGATTAATCAACCTCTCATAATTACAAAAAAAATGAAAAATTATGATTGATTAAATGAGGTTTGTACGATTTGTACAAATAACGTGGTTTGCAAAGTAAGCATCCCCTCTCTCTCTCCATATATATATATATATATATATATATATATATATA